CTGAGTACGAACTCTTGTTCTTCCTCACCAGCTCTGTAAGCCCAGGCATGCATTTAACCATTTGTGTCTCAGGTGCGTCATTTAAAAATGGGGATAAAATGCTTTCTACCACTTAGGGTGATAGAAGAGTTTATGGTACATCAACAGTACTAATTGAAAGTTAACTATTAATATTTCAAATATTAAGATGTATCATCCTTACTACTACATAGAAAATAGGGTGCTTGGCACATAGTAGACTGCCAAAACATAGTTCTTAATGCATATATGAATATGTCAGTAAAGGTTACAGTTTGGGCTTTCACATGAAATATATGAATCCTGATGCTGATAGCTATCCTGAGAGAATGTGATGATTAATGCTTATCCAAATTTTTAACAAACATGTCATTTCAGTATGGAAAAAAAAAAAAAAAACACCAAGTGGCAACTGTCTTTTTTTAAAAAGTATCTATAAAGTAACTGTAAGAATTTGGAATTTTTAAATTGTTGCTCCAGGATTACTTATAATGCAGATTGAAAATTAACGGAACACATGTTGTTGTTGTTGTTATATGCTGTTAAGTCGGACCCGACTCACAGCGAACCCTCCTTGGGTTTCTGAGACAGTATCATTATGGATAGTAGATTGTCCAACCTTCCTTCCGAGGAGTGGCTGGTGGGTTTGAACAGCCAGCCTTCTGGTTAGCAGTCAAGTGCCTTAGGCACTATGCTACCAGAGCTCCTAATGGAACACATAGGTTTATTAATTGATTATAGAAATAATTCAAGTTTCAGAGAACAACATGGTTAAATACTAAGCTTCATGAGGGCATGAGCAGTTTTTTTTTTTCCATTTGCTTTATTCATACCTAAAAAAGAGTATAACGCATTAGATATGCAAATGTTGTCAGAAAAACTGTATGATCATTTTTCTCAATATTACTTCTAAATGTAATGTTTGTATTTGTTTTTAACATATTCTGCTACTTAAAAATAAAAGGGACAATTTTCACTCACTTTATATAGGATTTAAGGAGCTCTGGTGGCATAGTGGATAAGGCATTTGGCTACTAACCAGAAGGTCACCAGTTCAAACCCACCAGCTGCTCTGTGGAAGGACAATGGGGTGATCTACTTTCATTAAGATTTACAGCCTCAGAAACCTGATGGGGGTCACTATGAGTCAGATTCAATTGCATGACAGTGAGGTTTTTTTGGTTTTATATAGGATTTAGGTTTGAGATACTTTTTCTTTAAGTAGGACATGATATAAAAAATAATCAGTACTTTAAAAATGTAGAAGCTGTTTGATGTATGTTCACGTGTGCAGAACTGTTTGTGTTTATTTTTGTGTACGTGTGTGTTGGTTGGAAAAAAAAAACACACATATCATATTAAAATGTCTCAGGAATATTTTACCTTAACATTTTTAGAAGGAAGACATTAAGCTAGTAGAAAGAAATACTAACTGACATTTTACTTACGGTACTTTTACCAAAATTAATCTATCTCTGAATCAAGACTGATTATGTATTTATCCAGTATATAAATTCAATTTTTAAAACTTCAGCCTTGAGATTAAAAAAAAAAAAAAAAAAATTCAGCGTCAACATTAAATGTTTTAGTGTAAAGCAAAATATTTACTTTTTCACTCTTAATTTATCTCCCAAATCCATACTCTCAAGGTTTTCATGACTATGGGCTTTCTTGTCCTCAAGTCAGACTTTATTCTCTCCTTAGAATACAATATCCAACCCATCTAACCACATCCACTGGAAATAAAGCAAAACTAACAACACAACAGCCAACCTCAAATCTATAATGAGCTAAGCCTTTCTTATGTCTTGGAACGTTTTACAAAAATAAACAAGCACGTGGCATAAAGAACTTAATAAATGCTTGTCGATCTACTTGGGCAGATTTATGATAGGAAAGCAATAACAGAAATAAAGGTATGAGTTGTAAATCAAACCACAAGCTCTCTTATGGAATTTCTGCAGCTGCAGAAAACCTTGCAAATATTACCAAAGAAAACATTATTGCATCAAAAAAAAAAAAAAAAGTATACCTTTTAAAATCAACACTTCAAAACTTATCATTAGGCAAGGACTTGGACTTAGCAAATCAGGACCTTTGGGTCAGTCACTAACCAGTATTTTGACTTTAATTTCTAGAGACACTGGTTCCTTCATCTATCTGTCAAATGAGTCTTGGGAGGATAATTCTTTCTAGTTTTAAGAATCAGAGTTCAACTACAGCAAGTGTTGGAGAAACTTCCTCAGGGCTTTGGAGCTAGGGCTGGCCAACCATCCCCTGCAAATGCCTCCTGGCATCCTCTTCAAGCAGTGCTCCTGGCCTCTACCCTGCAGCAGTAATTTGCATACAGGGTGGACTTTCTGCTGAGCACTATTTAGGGGTCCAGTAGCCATATTTGTTCCTAGACTATTGTATCTCACTAAACAAAACCGTAATGCTTTATGTTGAATTTGATGCTAAAAATTACTACATGAACAAAATCAAAACTCTGTGGAGGAGGGTTTTAAAAAAGCATTAACACTTAGTATTTCTTGGTGGTATGTCCTATTTTGTATGGGACCCAGGCAATATTCATTTGCTAGACATTTTTTCACTACAGTCTTCATCATCAGATCTCAACCACAGGAGAAAGAAAGAGTAGTTTTGTTACGCTCAGCATATATTTTGGGCTTAGGCCTTAGGGAGTCTGCATTTCTCATCTTTAACTAATAACTTCAGAGAGAAGAAAAATAATAAAGAAGCAAATGGAAAATAGTTCATAATAAAAACAGTCCAAGCAGCGTATGAGATTCATGGATTTGTTCTGAGTAGATGATGAAGCAAAATATAGCTCTCTCATTTAGAGAACAGGTGAAATTTTCCATCTGATATTAAATTAATCGAAAATAATTGTTGCCACTGCTAAACTGTACATAGTTTTTTTTTAAAAAAAAAAGTAAGATTATAACTGATGTTGAAGTTATAGCCCAGCTCTATCACTTACATCATTATAGCAGGGTCTCCAGCTACATGTGGCCTCATGTTTCTTCTGAAGGCCTATCTACAGAAATACAACAATGTATGATTCCACAATCAAGTGCCAAATTTTATTTTGCCATCCTGTTTAATGTTAAAGTCGTCTGTATTCAATTCATTTCCCACAATAACATTAAGCAAATTCACAATTATATTTGTAAGCTACAGTGAGGTAGAATTTATTGGCTGAATATTGGTGTTGATGTCATTTAACAGTTAGTCCTCATTACCTGTATCAATCAATATATGTACTAGGATTCTTTTTATCCAATTCATAGTAAATTTCTTTATAGTATTTATATATGTTTCACCTTTGAGTTTAAAAAAAAAAATAAAAAAGTTTATTTTTAGGACATTCCAAATGCCAAGCAACAAATTAACATGTTATCTGGAGTTATCTGCAAAACTCAAAATCCCAGATGAAAGAGTCACCCTGCTTCATTATATCATTCTATTGACTTAACCATGTTTAATTAACTTACTGTTATTTAATGGTTATAAACTCACACCCTTTCTACTCCAAGTGTGAGAAGGGAGCATAGAAGGTGATTAGCTGAAGGTATAACTTAAGTTATATATTTTGCTCTAACTTACAAGAAATGGTCATGTAACAATGCAGAGAATATTTTACTGTGACTATAGCTCACCTTAGAAAAATACATAAAGCCATCATTAACTCCAAACTTAATTCATTGACTTCATTCTAAAACTACTAGCAAATATCAAAGTAAAGCTGGGAGACTGCAATGTAACAAACCTTAAATGCAGGGGGATGCCATGAAACAGTAGCACAAAAGCCTATAAACTGCCTTTCAAAGGTACCCAATATCTTCGTAAGTATCATATTTAGAAATCATTTTGACATTAGGGGCTTATCTCAAATGCAGAAATGTTTACAGCAGAGTCATATAGTTCAAATTCAAATGACTAAAAGACTAACACTTAGAATTGGTTGTTTGGTTTTTTTTGTTTTGTTTTGCATTTTAAACTAATTTTTTAAAAAAAAAAAACAACCTTAAAAATTTAGCTAGAGCATTGTTTTACTGTATCATGGAATGCACCAACAATGGGCTTGGACACTGAGGGATGATACTATTACACACTTACATGGTGCCCACACAAGCAGCCCATTAAGAAAGAGCAGCACCTTTCTTCTTTCTTTTTTATTTGCCATCAGCTGAGTATTATCAAAATCATGTTTGGTTTTAAATTCAAAAACAGTCAGTCTCTACCCTAGAGTTTTGGTTGTCCTCTATCAAAATTCACTCTAAAAAAAATCAAGTACAATAGTAAATCTACATCTCATTTCAAAGATACCTGATGATATAACATGCATCTCAGGAAACATTAAGATTTCATTGAAAAAAAAAAAGGAAAAAGAAAAGTGAAACAATGCTACATTACTGGTTTCAAAATCCTGAACAAATAGTAACTATTCAGGCTTTAGTAACAGGTAATAGACTTATGTTATTTTTATAATTATTTTTACTAACTACTTTCTTTTCCTTTTTTGTAATAAATACAGTACTCTAGAATGGTACTATTGTTTTATTCAGAAAGCATGGTAAAGTTTTATACCTTTACACATACTGTCATTCCCACTCACTGTAGTGAGTGTCAGCTGTGCCACCTTTAATATTTCTTATATAAAGGTGGCCAGGAGAAGGTGGCCACCATGCTCAGAGCACTTAGAAGAAGAATCTACAAACTAGCTAGAGTAGTCCTCTGCTGAACTGTTTTTTCCTCTAAACAGTCCTTCGTTCTTTTCCTCAAGGGAGAAGAAGCATGAGGGTACTGTTCAGAATGAACTGAGCTTATTTTAAAAGGTCACCAGTGGTCAAGTCACTTTGAATTTTTGGCAGATTCTTGCTTCAGATACCAGTTGCGTTAGACTGTAGAGCTCCATCAAACCTCAGACTGGGGCTGCTCATGATGTTTTATTATTTATTACATGCTATGCTAAGTACCTGTGAAAGGGGGCACTCCTTGGCCAACGAACTCTGATTCATATCTTTCAGTAAGTCCTTCAGAGCATTCCTTACTGTGGTGTGCGACCATTGTTCGGGAGGCAAGTCTTCTAGTTTGGGGCAACTATTTGAGACATAGATTAGAAAGCGGATTATTACAAAATTGCATCCCGCAGCAGAACATTCCTTTAAGACAGACAGATTTCATTTTGCGCATCAAACAGATGCATCTGGAGATTGCTCTCGGTCTCCTGATTGTTCCGATTAGTTAATTACTTTATACAACACATCTGCTGTATCGATGCATGAATTATACATCAGCTGCCTGTGGTGGCTATTTTTTCATGTTACTTCTACCTTCCTGCTCTGATGCGCTTGGGAAGACAATTTAAGGTGTACTGCTTTCTCACGATCCACCATGAAAAGCATTAACGGATTAACCAGTTTCCTTCAATTACTCTGTTCCTATGTATCAAAAGGTTAAAAAAATATATATATATATATATAAATAAATAAGACAGTGGCAATAGTGAAGAAGGCATTCTTTCACAAAATGTACACAGATGGCACTGTGCACAATATGCAAAAATATTTTTCTCTTAAGTAAACTTTATGTAAAATGCCTTCTTGTAATGCATCATTTAATTGACTGAATATAGAAAGTGTCGTCTTGTGATAACCTTCATGAGCCTACAAATTTGGGTCGGGAGGGGAGCTGCTTTTCAATTATGCACTGAAGTTAGGGAAAAACAGCAGAAGGAGCAAGGTTAACAAAATAAATTTGGATGAACCATTCTGAAACACAGGGTGAATGCAAGCTTAAGGTTGCCCAGAGATGCTTTATTTCAAAAGACGGGTAAATAGATCTTTTCACCCTGGCATCACTGTCTAGACTCACCTGTGTAACTGAATTTTCAATGTGACCACATGATACACGTCTTGAAGCATATCTGCTACGGTAGCATCAGGGGCATCTGTCACATAAGACAGTGGAACTGGATTCCACTTTCCAACCTGGATTAGCCCTATTCCAGATAAAGAGAATATGTCACTAAATATTTTACCCTGAAGGTAATAATCTAGTAGAAAGTCTTCCCCCCCCCCATGGCCTCCACTGCAAGCCATATTGTTACTTCAGTTTGAATTATTCCCTTCCCTGTAAAAGGCAGGTCAATGAAAATATTCACAGTTTAGCTTTCCAAATTGTGAAATTATGTAAATGACCACAGGATTGGTTATTATTTTGGAATAAAATCCCATCAATAAAACCTATGCATAATGCCACATCTTCCTAACTTATAGGAAGTTCTAATAAGACATAGCTGAACCAGTTCTAAATGGCTTTACGATTCAGATAAGATTCTCTATTGCATGGGAATCAGTATTGAAAAATACTTTACAGCCCATAAAACCATCAGAAACAGAATAAAAGAAACAGAACTAGATATTCAGTCATAAATGCAAATTGACTCTCAACAGTCCATCTGCTCAAATACGCTCCTCACTTCCTTGTGGGTCCTCAGTGGAGCAGATTATTAAGGTCAATAAGCATACTAATGATTCAGCTGAAGTAATTTAAAAAAAAATCTACCTCGACATTCCACATGAGCAAAATGTGTGTTAACTAAACCAAACTGAATTAAGCCAATTTTTTAAAGCCACAGTCTATAAGGAACCAGTGTAAAACACGGGCTACAGTGCTTTGAGTAAAAATATTCAGTGCTTTCTCTGCAAGGTAAACAAAGAATGGCAAGCAATTTTTCCAACTCCACACATGCATTATTTACCTTTGGCCTGGGCAGCAGAGCTATGCGAGTAACCCAGAGACAGCAATGCCATTTCTATCAGCTGGTTGAAAAGCATATCCTTTCTCACCAACACAAATTCCGCATGCTCCTCCTTACAATCATATTCAATGGCGTTTTCATAATGTTCCACTACGCAGAAAACTGGTAGCATAGTTCCTATCAAAATGATGGGGCGGGGGGGAGAAAAGAGAGATGCAAACCAAGAGTCTTCAGAAATACAGTCTGGGGTGGGGGAAATTAAGCCATGAAAATAAATCTTCCCAACAGTCAGAGAAAGGGAGACTGCTTCCAAAGCACAAGGCACAGAAATAGAGGCACATGAACAGAATATATACAATCCCTCTCTCTCCTCTTGTGTTTTGGAAGTTATAAGAGAAATATTTAAATAGAATGTGAAGTTGGTCCTAAGATAATTTGGACACTGCTCTAACTTTAATAGCACATTTTCTAAAACTGATAAATACAGAATTACCTTTTTAATCAAATAATAAAGCTGATGAGAGACAGAAGTATCTTGTCTGATCTGCTGTGAGTGGTGTACAAACGTACCTACTCCAGTTATTTTCAGAGAAAACCACCTTCATGCTTCCTACACAATTTTGTTAATATTAAACTTTTCCTATTTGTGTCCAACTCTCAAATTACCTTTGACTATAAAATTATCATCATTCTCTTCCTCTTTTAGGTATTTACTCTAACTGGTTCCATAAAAGAAATGCAAAACTTAACCAAACTGATGCTAATAACAGATGATCTCAATAAGTGCACAAGCAGATAAATAGGATTTATTTTCATGGCTACTCATTTAATCTACCTAACTAAAAAGATATCACAGTAAACATATGTCTTTAAAATGAACAATCTCTGTTATAGTTAATGGGATAAAAATGAGAGAGAGAAAAGGAAACTGGCCTCATCAGGACATATTAGGATAAAGGAATCTGCATAGATTTGATGTGTCCTCTCTTTATTTACTTTAATCCAATGTAATAACTCAGTAGCCAGATGATTAATAAGCACGGGCCACACCACTGTCAGAAACGAGGCTTCTAGAAACTGAAATCACTGGCTGCCGTGGTACTCAAGGTGTTTACGCAACGTACTGTCAGACTTCCAGTGATAAACGGAAAAGGGTTAAAAGCAGATGCATTTGAGCTGTACTGTGGCAAACTGCCAGAAGGGTATCATCTTTAGCATAAATGATGACAAGGGTTACTTTAACAGGGCACCCAGGATCCCCAATTAGTCCTACAACATTAATGCCTCTATAAGCTCTGCCCTCTGGACTCACAGAATTCTACCAACTTACTAAGATGTCTAGTGCATACCAACCATAGCTAAAATCAGGTTTTCTGACTGATTCCAGAGATGCCCTTTAAAAATCCTCTATTTGCTTGTTTCTGCTGAATAAAAGCCTGCAATAAAACAGCTACATTTTTCTGCACATGCATCTTCACCAAAGCTTTAGTGAACTGTTCACATGAGATTCTAGCTCTGACAAATAAACCCCTTTAGGTTTACTTAAAAAAGCTCACAAACTCATTCGGAAGTACCCAACAGGCTAGACATGGAAAACAAGCTGCAGAGCTTGCCAATATTCTTGTCATTCATTCAGCTGTTTTATACCAGAGAGAGAACCTGTCAGGGATCAGAAGACGACTTAGGGAGACCACAGCAAAAAATAACAATATGTAAACTGTTGATTTCTTCCTTGGCTCGAAGGTACTTTGGCAAAATCTCCTACACAAATAAACAAAAACACTTGACCCCTTTTTCTTAGTAGTGCTTTCTCTTCTCAATCACAATTTTTATCTAGCGCTTGTCAAACAGAAGCCATGCACATGAAAAATAAGATGAGGGCAAAAAAAAAAAAAAAGCCGACCAAAAGGTTTTAGTACTTTTGTCATTTGGAGTAAGCAGAGAGAACCTTCAACAATTAAAATGCATTTTTAAAATAAGTCACCATGAATGCAATACTTAAAAACAAAAAAGATTTGAGCAGGAAGTGAAATTACTGTTACTCTGGTTTCTCCTCCCCGTCCTGTTGTCTTCAAAGAGTTAGGTGAGCACAACAAAAACATACACATTGATTTTTCCTCTTATAAGGATGATACAAACAGGCATGTTGCACTACATGCTGCTTCTTAGGCTTTTGATACAATTGTAGGCTTTCTGAACTAATGAAATATATTGGATTTATTTTGGACTTTATTGATCAAGCTTAGAGGTACCCTGTAGATAACAAAGGTGTCTACTGATACAAGAACAACAGTATCATCTAATTACAAATCTAGCTGCTACATCTTCTAACAAACTGTCACGGTTGCCCTCCTGTTACTGGGAGAAGAGCCTTCTCTGAACTGTCTGATTAGTCGTGCTAGTGTTTGGCAAGACTTCCAACTACAGCAACTTCATAACCTTCCAGCATTAAAAGGGGAGTGCACTGGTCACTGCTGGATGCTAAAAATACCACATGATTTAAACCTGAAGGCAGTCTTAGAAGCTTTTGCTGAAGGTTTATGAGCCTGTGTAAACAGCACGTCTGCCATAAGGAGCAGTGAAGTCTGTAGAATCCTTGTCTAAAACTGTCCTGGCATTAAAGTTTGCTGTGCAAATATCACATAATACCAGAGACAGCTGAAATCTCCTATTTAGGAATTTATGGAACTTATATGTTTGCAGGCGTCAGAAAGTCTTTTTTATAGAGCCCCAGTGCTTCACAGTACAATATTAATGCACTCTGTTTGAAAAGCTGTAATAAATTATATTTTTAATGCTCTTACCCTGGCTTTCTTAAGATGCATACATTCTTGGCAAACAATCAATAAATAGGGTAATCATGAGTAGAGGCCAAAGAATTTGCTGAAGTGCTGTTTTTCCATTTTTAATAGATAAAGATCTAACAATACGGACTGCTGTGTCTGTTCATTTCAGGATCAATATATTCTTTGTTTTCACCAAACCAAGGAAAAAAATAAATGATTGTATCATAAATGTTATGCATCAAACACAATGAAATTCCTCTGCCTTCTAACTTTATCTACTTAATATTCTCAGTTGCTAAAAGATGGCATTTTTAGCCTTTGCTTAGCAAATGTAAAGAAAATCTGAGTCGTATGCATGTTATTCAGAGACAAAATGAAGACCAGTATAAGGCACAGACATTATAACCAGTACAGACGTTAATTTACACTAACAACAATGTTGAACAAAGTTGCTATAAACTTCATCAATTTAAAATAAAATGGGTAGAAAGGAGTCATGCAGCTATACATAAACCTTATAAACCTGGTGAAATTTGCACTTCCTTCATCAAAAATACCCAATTATAGCAAAAATCAGAAAGCAGAATCATCAGGCTTTTCACTGCTAAATAATGAATTTGCTCTTAAGAGAACAAACCACAAAAACAAACATCATAAAACTCTTACATCATATCACAGAAGATCTCCATTATCTCTGAAACTGCCTTACAACTAGTAATCTTCTGAAAAAGCTATGGCAGTACTCAAGCAACCTCAATCTTAATCAGGGTTAGTTTAAGCAACAGCCACCAATACATACTCTACTACAAAAATACCGTTATCAATGGAAGCCTGGTCTAAGATCATTATATTTCATTCAGTCTTTATCATCTAAAATGTGCAAGGAGTCTAGTTTATAGTACAGCAAGATGCTCCAACCAAGCACAGAGCCTACCCTTTCAAGATATAATTGACACTATAGCCAGGAATGTAACTAATTTCAGGTCAAAAGAAAATTAAGGAAAAGAATACCCACAGACATAGTCTGTTTCTCCACTCTAACACAAAGTGGCCTTGGGCAGACCCATCAGGGCTTGCAGCTTTCCATGTTTATTTACCTTTCCTAAGATTGGTTTTCATCAGATGGCCCGAGTGTTTTAAAGGCACTCCCTGCATTTTTGCACCTGTACTCCCAAGCCTTCCTCTTCCTAGCGGGCTCCCATTCTGTTCCAGGCGGGCAATCTTGGCTGGTGGACCCTTCGGATCGCTCACATTGTTAGACATTTCTGAATGTTCTTTCCCCTGAGTTGCCTCGTTCAAATGATCCATACTCAGTTACCCTCTAAAGATCACCTGCCAAGATTAAAAAGAAGACATGTTATAATTGGGTGGAGGTGTATATACACACATCTATATCCATGTAAATGTTTTACCCCTAGTTATCTCTTTCTACAAATATAATGTATTTGTAAAACTACTTACTTAGAAATAATATAATGCAGATGTTACCATATTTCTACATAGCAACATTATATTTTCATTCAAATTAACAGAATAATTTGTGGAAATGGTACCGACACAAAAGGATAAAAAGGTAATTTGTCACCTACAAACAAAACTAAGTTTGGGGAAATGGGCTTACTTTAAAAAGAAAAAGAATTGCCACAAAATAGCTAAAAAGAAAACAAATTATATTTATATAATCTCAATGTTTTTAAATTAAAAACTCATTACAGAATAGCAGCATTTTAATCAAGATAATCAAGATTATTAGTCTAAAATATTAATTAAATCTAATGTATATATTTATATTTTTTATGTTTTAATGTATATGAGAACAAAAGAAATACATACATACCATCTCTTAAGAAGGTAGCAGGCATGCAACTGCTTTTTAAATTCTCTATTCACTTTACAGGTTAATTCATAGAAAAAGTTTTCTACTGTCAAAGTTTTAAGAGTTATGTGACCTGTTAAAGATCCAGTCAAGTCTTGGGTCAAACATGTGATTGGATCATTTCAAGCAAACTGGAAGAAGTAGGAAGTCCCATCAAATACCCCAGGCACTGAAGCATTACAACTCATACGTTCTAGAATTAAAATTTAGGTGTCCATTAGTAATAGAATGCTGCTACCAATTTAAATTGAGAAACTATTTTGTGATTTGTGCATTAGGTTGAACTGTTAAACTCACTTTTAAAAAAAAATCTTGATGATACTGGTAAAACACAATCTCAAATTTTGCAAAACAATGTCAGTATGCAATTTAGTCAATATCTTTACAAACTTAAGAAAAAAATAAGATAGTGATTTTCAGTTATACATCAGACATAAATTTTCATGCTGTTCCTAATAAAGCAATAATTACAATACCAAACTCACTCCCAAGCTAGTTTTAACTAGAGTTGATAGAACAGGTAGGTAGATTTATTTTGTGAACTCTTATGGTACTTTACGTGTGGAGTTCACTAATACTAAGGGGATCATATTTGAACAAATAAGAAAGCACATGGTAATTGCTACTTTCCTCCAGCTGTCTAGTAATTCGACATGTCTTGTACTTTTTTTAAAAAATTATTATACCAAAGCTATTTGGATCTAGATTTGTTGAAAGATAGCTTGAATTACAATGGCCTTTTTGGAAACACTTCCCCCTCTGTTTAACTATAGACTACTCTGTCCCATATAGCCAAAAAAAGAGGTGAGTATGGGGACACTGTTAATTTAGAGGTTTAAAAGTAGCTTTAAGAACTCCAACTGAATGACTATAAAGTTTGGGAAATAATGGCTATTTATCCCTGGGCTGTAGGGTGGCACACTAAGAACTAAGGGTTTACCATTGATAGAGGTCCCATCTGTTTTTGGTTATGAGGTTCATTAACAATAAATGTGCCTCTTTTAACCACTTTTTATCAAGATTACTCTTTTCCATTATATTAAACTGCATTCTAAAGCCAAAATTAGAGAGCAACGATTATTAACTTATCCAAAACACTCTACAATGTTTCATATGGGTTATAATATGGTGCTGCCTTTTCTGAAATTGGTTGCCTTACCCTAGAGAAGAACATGAATTTTAAAACATATGATTTGAAAAGAAAACCCTTAACCCTTGGGACAATTTAAGAGAAAAAAAAGAAAAAGTAAACCACAGCATCAAAGTTAATGCTGCAAACATATTAAGTAGTCATGAGGCTTAACAGCACTACAAACTGTACAGCAAATGGAAGTGACAGATTATAATTTAGTTAATGTATTGACAATCAAAACATCATATAGGTCGTGAAATTGTCCTTCGAATATCCAACTAGAAGCATCTATTAAACACTCAGTCATCTCGTAAAAAGCTTTACATTACAAAGCAAAATTACATGCACATAAAACACCTAATTTACTCATTTAAACTCTATGCCCAAGCCTAAAGTTCACCAAACCTCAGTTTGTAATTGCAAAGAGCAACCTCCACCAGGCCTGCCTGGACTGATGACAGCGGGAAGTAACTACGTTCTCAACAGTTGCCAGACTGAAGAGTTTCTTTTGAGTTATACATTTTAAAACTCATTCTAGTGTAATGTCGGGCTGGCACACAGAAAGCGGGCCACTTTCTCAAAATCCCATTTCCCTGCCCATAAACTAAGTCCACATATGAAAATCACTGAATAAAACAGAGAACTCAATCACAGCAATTACTTCCTTTAAAAGAAAAAACAAACATGAGATTCCAGTTTTGATAACCTATTTTTTTTTTTGCAATGTAGGATCCTTTCCAATGGGTTCCTTGTTCGATCACCTCCCTCGCCCCCACAAAATCCCACAATCACATTTAAGAGATTGTGCCCTTATCCATTCCATATGGCCGGCAAGATCCAGGCCAAGCTTTCACTGTGACCTTTTAAAGAGACAAAGAAGCAAAGTACTACCTAGAAACAGAAACACTGCAGTTTTACAGAGTGAAATTAGCAAAACCGACCTGAAACTCACCACTTCAAAACTTGACAGCATATAAATAACAAAAACAAAGGAGATTTCCTTTGCAGCTCGGGTTCTTGAAGAGGAGTTCAAGGCTGATGTTTTCTGTGTGCCCCCCCC